GGAAAATATTTTCTGTGGAAAATTTCTTCTATCAATCTTCCAAATAAGTGGAAATTTGAAAATATTTTCCTAGTTGCCTGGAAAATAACGCGTATCAAACATGCCCTAATTTTTTTTGCTTATTTAAAAATATAAGATGCAATTATGTTATTTTGTGCCCTCCAATTGAATTTTTTGGACGAAAATCTCAGTGGGGGCACGATGTGCTAATTAATGAAAATTGATGATAAGAGTGGGTCGATAAAAAGTTATGTGAGAATAGATAAAAACCTCTAATGCAATTAAAACTTGGAAATTATATAACCACCTTGATAATTATTAGGGGACAAACAAACATGTCTTTCAAAATTTAGACCATTTTAAATTTTTGTCCTTGAGATTTATTTATTTTGTTGAAATCAAGAAAAAATTAATGTCTTAAAAATGTTGGAGCATTAACCCCAATGCAAAGGATCAAAGGTTATAGAATCGAATCGAATGGACACTAAGAAAATTAAATAAACAAATAAAATCGAAAATTGGAGTGAGCATAATGGTTTTGAGTGAATCATTTGGTTTTGGGTGTTAGAGATTAATGAACCAAGTGGTTCTCGACTTTGATTTTATTTCACCATTGCTACCCAACTTCATACTTATTGTTACAAAAGTCACCCAATTTTATATGACATCTCACAATATCCACTCACTTCTTTTAAACCTTTTTACAAATTTTAAAAGGGGGTAAAATGATAACTTTGTATTATATATATAAAATAAATTTTTTAAAAAACAAAAATAAAAGTTTTTATCTTACTTTAAAAAGTCTTTTTAAAACAAGTTATTATTTTATTTTATTTTTCTAAATAGCATTTTGTTTTATTTTTTATTTTATTTTGAAAATTTTTTTTAAATAAGTTTTTATTTCATTTTTTAAATTTATTATATATATAATGCAAAATTACAATTTTACCATTTTTAAAATTAGTGAAAATGTGATAAGAAGTTGAGTGGCCATTGTGACACGTTATATGAAATTGGGTAATCATAGTGAAACATTATATGAAATTAGATGGTCTTAGTGAAATAAAATCAAATTAATTGACCATGGTGACACTAAGTATAAAGTTGGGTGACCATGTTAAAACGAAATCAAATTCGATAGCCATGATGACACTAAGTCTAAAGTTGGATGGTCATTTGTGGATTTAATCCTCTTTTCTATATTTAGAGACAGAAATCTATAAAATATGTTGATTGTTTGTTGAAAATTTTGCCTCAAATTTATAAATGGTCAAACTATATTTTTAACCACACATTTTAATGAGCTCACAACTACTATCCACTATTCATTTCAATCTAGTTATAATCAAAATCATTTATAAATTCTTCCCAAACAAAGGCTTAATTAGTACATTCCCAACATGTCAATAATCTATATAT